TGCAACCGGAACCCATTCAATGTTTGTGCAGGGAAATTAAAAACAAGGTAGGTTCAGTGGGATTAGGAAAACTATGAATGTTCCATGCTGTTCGTTGTTTGATTTGGTTTCATTTGATTTTCGTATAGAGTTCTTATAAAGGCCCCAAACATGTTCAGATTTATACGATAGCAAATAGTTTTCAAAGTCTGTGTAAATAGCTAGGGAGTGTTTGGATAGGATCTCCATAAACTAAACTAAGCCAGAATTGAATGAGATGGGAGGGAGTGAGAAAGAGAGAGAGAGAGAGAGAGGAAGAGAGAGAGAGAGAGAGAGAGGAAGAGAGAGAGAGAGGAAGAGAGAGAGAGAGAGAGAGAGAGAGAGAGAGAGAGAGAGAGAGAGACAAAGAACGTGTGGATGCTGCTAGCTTATAATTGAAAACTATTTAAAATCCGATAACTGAATTTTTTAGGGCTACTTGAATTTGTGAAAATCGCATAGAGCGGCGGTTTTGTATAAGAGAGGAAATAGATGCGATGTGAGCGCGTGAGTGGACAGAAGGAGAGAGAGAAAAAGAGTGATCGAAAGAGAGAGACAAAGAAATAGAGAAAAGGGAAGACGGAGAGCAAGTTTGTCAGAGAGGATAGGCAGCAGAAAATAGGACTGAAAGCGGTTTGACTTTTACCCTAAACAAAACAAAACTTTCGGAATTGTTTCAACCACACTTTGCCCATTTGCTTGCGCTTAGATAAAGCTAATTCGAAACTCTAATATTGGCCTCAAATAGCAGTTTACCTCAACTCACAAATCCCATGCCAACAGCCGGCAAGACTCCAAAGCCATCAGTCAACAAGAATGTAGCGCTGATGCCACGCCCACAAGTCGACAAGCCCGACTAAGTCTCGCTCGCTTAGTTAGGAAAACCACATCAGGCAAATATGTAAATAACTTTTAAGAAATTAAGCACACTGGCCCAAAACAAGCAGCCAGCAGCGATGCCTAAGCCCGGCAAAGTTGAGCATTCGACTTGAGTTGCGGCAGACACGGGAGCACGAATAGTAGGAGTCGGAGTCAGGCACAGGTCTAGAATGCAATCACTTATACGCACCGTTGCACAGGGCGTCCCAAAAGTTTCGGGCAACGCATTGAAATGGAAGCTGACAATGAGGCAGCGTCTTGACTCGAAAAAGTGAGCAACGCGAACACTCAAAACAGATGCCGCCAGGCAAGTAACATTAATTACACCAGTTTTTACCTGTGCCCGGGCAAAAGAAAGGGAAAGAATTTGTTGATGGGCATGAGCTGTGCGATTGCCACGTGAACTGTGTGCTTGCATTTTATCTGCTCCAATTGCAACGCTCCGGGACGCCGGTGAGTGCCGCAGCATATTTACAATTACTCTGGCATTTAATGCAAGTGGGAATTACAATGGATGGCTCCCGTTTATGGGTGAATCACAATGGCAGCATGGACGTTTCAAATATTCAAAACGAACCGAAGAGTATGCCAGTGCGGCACGAGCACCGTCATATGCAGCTAAATACCCTAGAATTTTGGTCGAGAACAGAGCATGTGTGCTAGGCAGAAATAATATCTGGCACAGTCTTTTGTCTAGCACATAATTTACAACTCAACTATCTTGCGTTCTCGCAAACTTTGTATGATAACTATCTTGATAAGGTTGCTATTTAAATAATAAGTTAACAATGCTAACAGCAAAGCTCTAAAATAGCTTTACAATCTCTTAAAAATTTAATTATTCTCCTGTGATATTGTCTTAATTTAATACATTTTTCTTTATTTATACAGAAAATACACTGAGAGATAAACGGCAGGCAAATTCGAGAAACTTTCGTAACTGATTCCCTAACAAAATATTCTTAAGGTTTTGAGCCGAAATCGAGATGGAAATTCTTGAATTTAGTATAATTTCTACTTAAGTTCAAATAAGCGCTCTTTGAACAAGTGTAACATTTCTTGCATCAAATACAAAACTTTAATTTTAATTAACGTTTTTACTTAATTCAGCGCTTAAAACAGAAAGAGAAAATACACTTTCCCCTCATTTTCCTACTACTACTCGCAGGCATATTAAAACTTTTCTCAGAAATCGTTATACTCTTTTATTGTTTAGCTCAGTGATCGCTAAGCAGGCTTCCTACTTGTGCGAAAAGAAAAACCTAATACTTTTAAGAGACTTAACCAATAGCTTAGTACAGGGTATTTGAGAGTAAAAGCGCGCTAAAGTTTTATCCCTTTTGCATACAGCCTGAACAGTAAACAATAACAGTCGACAACAACAGTCAAGGATGGCAAGCGATTACAGGACACAGCCGCCGCCCCCTCTATTCAAAGCGGCCACAGAATACAGACAGGACTACGGCATACGGCTAAGTGTTTTGCAACGGAAATGCCAAGCTATCATGCAAAAAGCCAGCGGCAGATTAACGAACCATGGCCAAGGCATGCCAAAAGGTGCACAGGATGCAGATAGAGCAAGTGAGATATAGAGTATGATAGCGGGAGCGAGAGAGACAGATCGAGAGAGGGCGACAGAGAATTCGCCCTGGCACGTGACGCAGCGGTAGTCCATGACCAAGTGCTGATTTTTCATCCGGCCAAGTGGGTGGCCGCCGCCTTGCCACCAGGAAAACGAAATATACGACAAAAGGTTATTGACATTGTCGCCAGGCCCCAAACGCACGAAGCAGCGACAACAGACAACAAAAGAAGAAAGCAACAGCAAAGCATAAACGATAATCCATATACGCTTGCCAAAAAAACAAAATGCGTCATGCTAAGTGTACGCAAGCCAATCGAATTCACACCCCGGGGTGGAAAATTAGTGAAAAATGTTGTTGCCAATTTTAAATGTAAACCGAACGAGCTTGATTTTAAAGCTGTACATATTATTATATAGCTTATGGTTTCACCGATTTTAGCAAATCCACGCCAACTGGCGGATTACGGAAAGCTTAATAAAAGATGAAAGCAAAGTGATAGACTGTGAATAGTTTAATTTCCAATCGGTTTCGATTTCCCCGACTATAGAAAATTCATGGATGAAGGTAAAGTTAGTGAAGAGCTGAAGACTTCAAACTGCACTTAATAAATTAATTGGGTCTGGTTTCACTAATTTTGAGAATAATTCACGGTCATTGGCGGTAAACGCGTGGAACGTTAGGCTTAAATAAAGTTGGAAGTTGAGTGATATACTTGGTGGTTAGTTTTAATTGCAACTGATCGATTTCGAACTCTAATTAAAAGCTGTAGATAAAAAATTAATCGATTGTAGTTTTCGCGATTGAAGAAAATCCATGCACAAATAAACATGGAAAATTATAGTGAAAAGTTGAAATTTTAAGCGACCGTATTAGAGCTATACTTGCCCAACGGTGGAAAATGCGTGAAACGTAACGCTTAAATTTAAAACTGTTGATTCGGGTAAAGCCGAGTAATATTAGCTAGACATTTGTAGACACAACAAACAGCTCAGCTACCCCCTACTGGCCAAAGGGAATACTCTGGCCATAGCTTAAATAGCACTGCATTCCCAACAGCAAAGCAAATCCGTGCAAGAGGACAAGCCGAAGAAGTTTTTAAAAGGTGGAAATGTCCTTTTTTAAGTATCAATTTGCGCAAACAGTTGAGCCAAAGACAAAGGCACGTAAACAAGTTAATAAAAACAAATGCAGCTGCCCTTGGTTCGCACTCTGTTGATATTAGCTGGCCAGCTATGTAGCAATGGTGTGTCCCCAACTTTGGTGGCAACATTTAACCATTTTCTCAACTTTTTCGATTCTCTTTTGGCCAATGGGTCGCTAATTGTTTCCAACATGGGCTAGTGCCTGCACAAACACCTCGCCAGCCCCGGTTATAGTAAAGTGCGTTAAAAGGCTTCCTAGGTCTGTCTACCTCCTCGGCCCCACCATCATCCCGCCGTTCCGCCTATATTGGCTGGAGCAGCTGAATTGCATTTCGCCCGATGGCGTTTTACTGTTTGCCTTAATTGAAAACTTTAGCGCAGATATTTTTCGTGTTTGGCTTCGAAATATACAAAAAGCAGGCAAAAAACAAAGTGAATTGGAAAAGTTTCTAGTTTTTAACGCTTTGCCGCCTTGCATTTGTTTAGCTCTACTAAGCGACTTGCAGCAGCTTAAAGTTGCGCAGCTAACAATTTTTCATGCCCCACCTCCCACCGGCAAACCGAACCCTCACCCTACCCTCTCTCCACGCAAAAAGTTAGCCGACAATTAGTTGGGCAGCCTTACGGGAGCTGCTGCACAAAACCGAACTCGATGCGTTTTTCCAGCATCCTGGTGAAAAGCTCATTACAATTTGGCTGCGGCACTCACCGGTTTTACACGCTACACTAATTAACAAAGCATGAGAATGGTTTTGGTTTTGCGCAACACACATTAGAATTATGTGTGTGTGTGTGTGTGTTTGCGTGCACAACATGTGTAATAGCTGGCAAAGTAGTGTGCAAAATAATTCATTTAAATAAAGAGCTTGTACATATTTCAAAAACTGTTTAGGTTCTTACTTAGCGAGAATATTAAAAACTTTTCAGCATTAGAGAAAGTTTTAATAGGCAATCATTTTTATTGTTGTTTTCTATGATCTGTATAGTTGCTGTTAAAGTGCTTGTTAACTTTGCCAAGAACTTGAGAACAATTTTGCACAACTTTAATCTGACATTAGTTTCGTACTTTTTTTAATCAAACAAATTGTTGCCTAATTTAGCAAAATTGCCATGAACCTAAAAATGTTTTCTTTGAAATGGAAATTTTTCTGATATTTCGAGTTAAACTCTCCCCGCTTTCTAAACGAAATAAAATCTTTAGCTTAACAACACTGTTTTTATCGAATTCACTTTCGATTAATCGATATTTGTTCAATGTCCCATCACTATGTACTTTGCTTTAAGTATAGAACACAAATCTGATCTACAGCAACCTTGTAATATTACTAATTACTCCATTGTATTAAATAGTCTTGGGTTTTTTTGTTGTACTCACAATTTCCCTCTGCAGCTTGGCAATGTTAAAGTTCGCCTGGGCCAATCGTACGCTGAGCGTTGCCACATCGCTGGTGAGCTGTGCCCGCTCGTTTGTATTGCGATCGACCAGCTTGAGCATTTTATCCTCCAGACCCTGATTGACCTTTTGAACACGTTTGTGCGACTCGTACAGACGATCGTATTTATCCTGCCACGCAATCACACTGTCCTCTAGCTCCACTTGGCGCTCCGTTTCCCTCAGACAGGCCGTCTCCAAAGCGTACAGTTGCGTTTGCCTCTCGAGCAGCGCCTGCTGCAGTTGTTCAATTTCTGTGATGGGCGTTGGGGCAGCTGCTGTTGCGGTCGCTGCTGCTGCTGCTGTTGCTGCTGTTACGCCTGCAACTGTTGCTGTTGTTGTTGTTGCTGCTGCTGTCGCTGTTGCTGTCAGGTCGCCCGCTGTGTGCGCTTCGCTGGACGTCTGCAATTGAGTGGATGTCAGCGTTTGAATAAAATGGCAAAATTATGAGTATTTTGTAATTAATTTTGCTTCCGCCGGCGCATACCGGACGCGAGTGTCACACAGTTTCGACTGCAAAAAATAAATAAACGCCACTAAGCTCGGGGCAGCGAGAGGAAGTGAACACAGCGCCAGCATCCATTCAATACAAGCGGTTCGTTTTTTATAAATAACATAAAAAAGATTCGAGCGTGCGTCCCACCGTGCGCTCACATCATAAAAATGCACGTCATGCTCATAAATGCTACACAGAGACAAAGCGAGAGGGAGACAGACAGAGACAGGGAGAGTGAGAGGCGGGTCGGTGGGGCGGGGGCAGTATGTAGTGAAGAGCGCACTGATAACGCGTCTGCTTTAGCTGCGTTTAACAGTTTCAGCTTAACCAAAGCAACAGAGCAGCATCTGGTTTATTTTTCCAATGCCAGAGAGATAAGACAAGAAAATAGAACAGGTTAATGGAATTGCGACTGACAGATATCCTTAAAAAAAAACATTTTATTCCAAAATAAAAGGTTATTCAAATATTACAAAATCAGAAATTGTATACTGAAAAAAAATAGGGGCAAATTTCAGTCTAGACCAAATCTACATTTACTCATTATAGTTCTTCAATAAGGACTAGGAATGAATTTTGAAAAGATAGTATTAGCAGAAGTAATTATTTTGTTTAAATAATTGTAACTTTGCTATATAACATTTTTGGTTTTGACAATGCCTTTTAGTGACATTTTTTAATATAAATACTTATATTAAGCTGGCCGGCTTGAGCTCTTCTCTTACGTTGCTTGACGCTTGTAGTTCTCAACAAGTTAAGGCTTTGAAAAGGGAACAAGGCTTGAGTGAAGACTGCGGATGATAGAACGGTTAGATTCTTGTAATAGCCATACACACAATCATTTTCATTTCATTTCATAATTATTTTTGAACACGATATTTTAAATTGAAAGCATTAGATAAACTGGCTCATAAGTAGCTCAAATAGACCCTCCAATTATTTCTATTAAATGCAAATAATTTTAATATCAAATGTTAAAAGGCATATATTTAAACTACCTGTTTATAACCCTATTCACAGGGTATTCAACAATCTGCTAATCGAGTTAATAAGCTGGGTTGTCTAAAAGAACAACTCTCTCTCGCTGTCTCTCGCTGTTTCGCTCTCTGTCTCTCTATGATCGTTGGCTTCAGCAGCGCCTGCACAATTTGCACAGCAGGTCACCCACTGATAAGCCGCAGATAAGTCTGCAGAGAGCGAGAAGGAGAGGGAGACAGAGAGGAAGAGAGAGAGATCGGGGGAGAGCGACACAGATAATGAGATCATGTTGTACACGGAGAGCAACAATGCTGTAAGTAAGAGCTATCATGTAATGTGATGGTATATTATTGCTCTTGTTCTATGCTCTTGTAAATGAACCAAAAACTATATATAAATATATATGTACTTGCGGGTATACCCCGGCCTTGCCCGTATGTATAAAACAAATTCTTCCATCCGATCGGATGGTAAACAAAAAACTTTCATGCAACCATTTTCCGCCAATTTACCACTGTTGCGGGCGAAATTTCCCAAATCGCCGAAAAACGTACTCAGATCTTATGTAGAGCTTTGAAAATAAGTTTGAAGCAAATTGGTCAAAACCTTAAAAACAATTTCGACCAAAAAATATGTTGCCAGATTTAAATGCCAAATTAAACTAGAGGCAAAACCATGAAGAAACAACCAAATATCGTGAAATCGGTTGAGTTGTGGTCGAGTTATAAGAATGGGAAATTTAGACCCATGTCTATAATCGATTTTAGGGGCCCATATTTTGATTTGAATTTTGACTAAAAAATATGTTTCTAGATTTAAATGCCAAATTAAACAAGAGGCAAAACCATTAGGAAAAACCCAAATCTCGTGAAAATCGGTTGAGTTTTGACTGAGTTATGGGAATGGGAAATTTAGACCCATCTCTATATCCGATTCCAGAGGGTAACATTTGGACATGAATTTCGACCAAAAAATATGTTGTTAGATTTAAATGCCAAATTGAACTAGAGGCAAAACTTTGAATAAAAAGCCAAACCTTATGAAAATTGGTTGATTTTTGACTGAGTTATGGGAATGGGTAATTTAGACCCATCTCTAACCCGATTCCAGAGGGTAACATTTGGACATGAATTTCGACCAAAAAATATGTTGTCAGATTTAAATGACAAATTAAACTAGAGGCAAAACTATGAAGAAAAAGCCAAACCTTATGAAAATTGGTTGATTTTTGACTGAGTTATGGGAATGGGAAATTTAGACCCTTCTCTATATCCGATTCCAGAGGGTAACATTTGGACTTGAATTTGACCAAAAAATATGTTGTCAGATTTAAATGCCAAATTAAACTAGAGGCAAAACCATGAAGAAATATCCAAATATCGTGAAAATCGGTTGAGTTTTGACTGAGTTATGGGAATGGGAAATTTAGACCCATCTCTATATCCGATTCCAGAGGGTAACATTTGGACATGAATTTCGACCAAAAAATATGTTGTTAGATTTAAATGTCAAATTAAACTAGAGGCAAAACTTTGAATAAAAAGCCAAACCTTATGAAAATTGGTTGATTTTTGACTGAGTTATGGGAATGGGAAATTTAGACCCTTCTCTATATCCGATTCCAGAGGGTAACATTTGGACATGAATTTCGACAAAAAAAAATGTTGTTAGATTTAAATGCCAAATTAAACTAGAGGCAAAACTATGAATAAAAAGCCAAACCTTATGAAAATTGGTTGATTTTTGACGGAGTTATGGGAATGGGAAATTTAGACCCTTCTCTATATCCGATTCCAGAGGGTAACATTTGGACATGAATTTCGACCAAAAAATATGTTGCCATATTTGAATGCCAAATTAAACTGGAGGCAAAACCATGAAGAAATATCCAAATATCGTGAAAATCGGTTGAGTTTTCGCCGAGTTATAGGAAGGGGAAATTTAGACCCATCTCTATACCCGATTCCAGAGGGTAACATTTGGACATGAATTTCGACCAAAAAATATGTTGTCAGATTTAACTGCCAAATTAAACTAGAGGCAAAACTATGAATAAAAAGCCAAACCTTATGAAAATTGGTTGATTTTTGACGGAGTTATGGGAATGGGAAATTTAGACCCTTCTCTATATCCGATTCCAGAGGGTAACATTTGGACATGAATTTCGACCAAAAAATATGTTGCCAGGTTTAAATGCCAAATTAATCTAAAGGCAAAGCCATTAGGAGAAACCCAAATCTCGTGAAAATCGGTTGAGTTTTGACTGAGTTATGGGAATGGGAAATTAAGACCCATCTCTATATCCGATTCCAGAGGGTAACATTTGGACATGAATTTCGACCAAAAAATATGTTGCCAGATTTAAATGCCAAATTGAACAAGAGGCAAAACTGTGAATAAAAAGCCAAACCTTATGAAAATTGGTTGATTTTTGACTGAGTTGTGGGAATGGGAAATTTAGACCCATCTCTATATCCGATTCCAGAGGGTAAAATTTGGACATGAATTTCGATCAAAAAATATGATGCCATATTTAAATGCCAAATTAAACTAGAGGCAAAACCATGAAGAAATATCCGAATATCGTGAAAATCGGTTGAGTTTTCGCCGAGTTATGGGAATGGGAAATTTAGACCCATCTCTATATCCGATTCCAGAGGGTAACATTTGGACATGAATTTCGACCAAAAAATATGATGCCATATTTAAATGCCAAATTGAACAAGAGGCAAAACTGTGAATAAAAAGCCAAACCTTATGAAAATTGGTTGATTTTTGACTGAGTTGTGGGAATGGGAAATTTAGACCCATCTCTATATCCGATTCCAGAGGGTAAAATATGGACATGAATTTCGATCAAAAAATATGATGCCATATTTAAATGCCAAATTAAACTAGAGGCAAAACCATGAAGAAATATCCGAATATCGTGAAAATCGGTTGAGTTTTCGCCGAGTTATAGGAAGGGGAAATTTAGACCTGTGTCTATGTAGGATACTAGCGGGTATACCCCGGCCTTGTCCGTGGCACGCATAAAATTAATGGTCTCCAAGATTTTTGTTAATGAGTTTTAAACCGATCGGACGATAAACAAACAACAGGATTAACAGTTATTATATAGTAATTAATATATATAGGAGATATAACTTATCTAATATTCGCATCGATAAATATTGATAAATTGTTCAACTGTTAATTTCGATGATGAATACTCATGTTAATTTACCATGTATATTTATCAAATCAGATGACATATATTTTATCAAATGTGTTTTGTGTTAATCTTTTTTAAGTTGTTGCTCAGTTTAACAAAAAAAAAAGAATTTAGAGTAGATATCATATAGCTACTCTTAGAAACATGATACATGATAGCTTATCACACGCTCGCTTACCTCAGAGAATACTCTACGTAATCTCGATACAATTCTCGCTTATCAATTGCATTATTATCGTGGTGGGACTATGAGCCAAGTTGGGCAGCTGCAAGAGGCGAGACCAAAATCAAAGTGCAAACTACGCTCATATGTACTTTATGGCAAGTCGAGTAGTACGTGTGCATGTAATTGGATTAAGTTGACAGAAAACAACAACAACAACAACAACAATGGGAAGAGGAGCAACCAGAATGCAGCCGGGCTAAAACTTTGTCTTTGGTTACAGTCACAGACTGCGAGAAGCCTCAGCTGGGAGACTTGGCAAGAGACAGAGAAAGGGAGAAATACCGAATGAGAGAGAGCGCGGCGAAGTCAAAGGACTTGCTTGTCATATATGAGGCGTTCGGTTCGTTGTCTACTCAAACCTAAAAACTGCAAAATGTACAGAAAATTTAATTAAAAAAGGATTTTCGGGCCATGGCAAAAGTTACTTTGGCTTCCTTGGCTGCTGACTTGGCCCTCTCTCTCTCTCTCTCTCCATCCTTCTCTCTGCG